ATTCTTTTAACCTTGTATGTGCCGTCCATATTAATTACACAATCACCTTTTTATCTATACATTTATTTATTTATTCAAATTTTTTTGTTTACTTTAGCTAATTTAGGATCATATAAACAGAAACACCGATGTAAGGTACCTAAAATGAACCTCAAAGATCAACCTAGTATAAGGATATTGCAGGTGAACGTGGGCAGAGCGAAAAGAGCTCACGATCTTGTCCATGCAAAAGCCTGCATGTTGGAAATAGACCTGCTCATCGTCCCCGAACCAAACAAAAAAATTACATCGGACGGTGGGTGGGTGCAAGACACTAATAAAAATGTGGCGGTTTTGTTCCGAAATAAAGATCTTGGAGTGCGTGGTATTGTCAGGGGTGGGAATCACATACTCATAAAAATGAGAGATTTCAGCCTACTGACATGCTACGTATCTCCAAATATTAGGATTAGAGAGTATAAGAATATAGTTGACGAAATAATGAACACTGCCATTAGGGAAAAACAAATTATGATCGCCGGGTACATAAATGCTAAATCTCTACAATGGGGCTCTCACGCAAACGACAAAAAAGGGGAGATATGGAACGAATGGATAGCCCAGGCTAGCTTCCAGGTACTCAAAAATAATAAACCAACTTTTATAAGAGGGGCCAGCCAAACACACATTGACGTAACTTTTGCAAGTGAAGGGCTATCCAGACGAATACAAAACTGGGACGTCCTCAACGATCAATTATTCACCTACCACCGATACATTACATATGAAATTAAGGTAAAGGGGCGGAACACAAGACGGCCGATAGGATATACTGGGAAAACATTTAATGGGAGTACTTTTTAATTTAATACATTTAATGGGAATACTGGCGACAGATGGGAGTTATGAGCAAAGCTGATGGGTCAGATGGTAATGCTCGCTAAGAGCGGTCCCAGGTCCATCGGTTGGAGAAGAGGGCGTGAGTTTAGATGGTAGGCGGTCAACTACGGCAATGCGCAGTCGTCCGAATCCAACACACCTGGGACACCTTCCCAGAGGTCTTTTCAAGATTCTCACCTCCCAAAACAAAGGTATCGTAAGCAACATTAGCATATCTAATATAATATTGTCTATCAAACTTACCAAGAAATTATTTGAACATACAAAATATTAACTTTACATATCACAAGAAAATGTTTAAAAGTGCCCATAATTGCTCCCTCCACCCCTATTCTTTATTTCTGATTTTTTATGCATTTTTTTCGAATGAGTTTTAAGTTATATTTGAAATTACTTAAAACAGTTTGTTTGGTTTGTGTTTACGTTATTATAATAAAAAATTAAAGAGAATCAAAATTTTTAAGTTTTTATTTAAAAAATGCAAGTGCTCCGTTTTTCGTGCCGGTGAGTATATATATATATATATATATATATATATATATATATATATATATATATATATATATATATATATATATATATATATACAGATTGAACGAAATAAATTCGGAACATAGGAATATAATGTATTTCGGCTCAATTCTGCTGTAGGTGGTTGGCCAACAAAATATTGTCAAATATTTATATTATAAAAATCCAATACTTCAGTGGGCTGCTGGATTCTGAACTCATAAAAATTGAAAGCTACACATAAATCTACGATTTATGCTGTCAAACGAGTTATAGTCCAGGAAATGAAGCATTTCACCTCGCAATTATTTCGTGCTCCCTGGATTGACTTGAAATTTAACAGAGGGTAGGTAATAGCCTAAGGATCAAAATCTATATCGAACCAAAGTGCGCCAAAGCCTAGGGGGTGGTTGCCACCCCATCTCCGGGGTGAAATTTTTTTTACGTTTTAACTACAGGTTTCGATTAAAAAAGTGATTCTAAACAAAAAATGTGCTATACATTTTTTTTATAAAATGATATTTTTCAAGTTATTCGCGATTGAAAGTAATAATTTTTGGACGAAAAAAATCCACGTTTTTAATCGATTTTTCGCGAATAATTCGAAAATGGTGCATTTTATCAAAAAAATTGTAGAGAACAAATTTGTAGCTTTTAAAAAGACAAATACAATTCATTTTTTAAAATGTTTTTGGGATATAACAGGAACCGAAATACGGCCTATTAATGTTCAGCGGTTTTCTTCAAATGCCAAATTTGAAAGATTCAAAATCAAATATCGGGAAAATGATGCATTTTTGGAAGAAAACTCACAAAACCTTTTTTAAAGAGCATAAATAGACCTATCATAAAAAAGACTCTAGCTGAAAAAATTGAGTGAGTTATGATGAAAATAAGGTCAATACCTCATTTTTTACGAAAAAATCGATGAAAACAACCCCCTAACCAGCCCCATAATTAAAATCGATCTTCACCCTTCTGAAATTCCCTTTGTACATGTATTGTTAATATGTCCAAGAAGTTTGACCCATTTAAAATGCTTTGTGTTATAAAAAGTACAGCTTAAAGCGAGAAACGATTTACAATTTCATATTTTTTACCCTTCTTTTTTTAAATATGCCCGAAAATACTGAATATATAAAAAAAATACAAATTACCAAATTGTAGCTTTTTTAATGACTAAAATTATCCTTCATTTAGATTTGTTGTACAATGAATATTTGGCAAGATATAGCCGTTTAAAGCATCGATTTACGATCAAGCACCATCTTTTTCGATCCCTTTAAACTCACCCCATTTAAAAACCAAGGGTTCCAAAAAGATTTAATTCACAGATTCTTGTAGCTCTTAAAAACCTCTACAAATCGTTTTTGAAGAAACACTCTATCGTTAAAAATTAAAGGAAATACGTTAAAAAAAACCAGTGAATTTTTTTCCGGAAAATTTTATTAGTATAGTACAGTACATTTCGGAGCATAGTAATCTACAAAACCGGTATATTAGCTAGTGGGGCGTTATACATTCGAAATTTTAAGCGTTCTTATTTTGAAATCCCATACAACAGAATAAAACATCTGCTCATATGTCTATGGCTTGGCAATGAAAATATTAGAGCAACAGATTGGGGATGGTATTCCAAAGATGGTTTGTTATTACCCGTACGCAAGAACAAACAACCTGCACTCGATGAACTTTTTAAAATTATTTTTTGGCAATGCAAAAAAGGATGCGGTGTTTCATGTGGGTGCAGAAAAGTTGGTTTATACTGTAACTCTACTTGTTCTGGGTGCTCAGGAGAAGGGTGCAATAATAGTCCACCAATAATTGAAGATGAGGATGACATAGATCACGATGAAGATGTAATTGATGACGAATAAAATTAATATTACAATTGTTTTACCTATAAATGTAAATATTTTCAACTATTTATGTAAATGTATAAGAATATATGGTGCCTTTTTATGTTGATAATTTTTTTTGTATTTAATTCTACTTTTTTCAATTTATATCTTATAAATTAGTTTATAAAAACTGCAATGTTGTAAAGGGTGATTTTCAAAAGTTGAAAAGTTGCAAAATTTTGGCAAAAAATTGTTTTCACCTATAGCACTCATAACAATTGATTTTTAAGGGTTGAAAATGTATGAATTTGTATTTTAAAGTATAAAAAAATCACTATTTAACTAATCCAAACCAAATTTCACTCATCTTAAGATTTATAATATTATTTTACAATTTTTGAAAATTAGAAGTAGTTTTCACCCCTAAGAACAATCAGGGTTCATCGGCATGACATAAACTATAAAGCAGAGGGTGAGTTGAGCTTAATTCAAATTTTTATGCAAATCGTTCCAAGGTGAAATCATTTTCTCGCATTACTAATTTTTTTATATTAATCTCTAATAAGGGTCGCTTTTAAGGGTTGAAATATGATGGAACTTTATTCAAAAGCACGAAACTATCATTATTTAATTAATTCAAACCAAATTTTACCCATATTCAGGTTTAATATGTTATTTTATAATTTTTGACAATTACGGGTAGTTTTCACCCCTTAGAACAATCAGGGTTCGTCGACATGACATAAACTATAAAGCAGAGGGTGAATTGAGCTTAAATCCAAATTTTTATCCAAATCGATCCAAGGCGAAATCATTTTTTTATAATTGGTAATTTTTTTACATTAATCTCTAACAAGGGTTGCTTTTTAAGGGTTGAAATATGATGGAACTCTATTCAAAAGTATAAAATAATCATTATTTAACTAATTCAAACCAAATCTTACCTATATTCAGGTTTAATATGTTATTTTATAATTTTTGACAATTAGGGGTAGTTTTCACCCCTAAAACCCTTCAGCGCACTTCGGTTCGATATAGATTTTGATCCTTGGGCTATCACCTACCTTTTGTTAAAATTTCAAATGGATACATGCAGGACGAAAAAATTGCGAGGTTTTAACTATTTTCGAGCTTTATTTCCTGAACTATAATCGTTTCCTTAGACAAACCCGTCTTATGCAAACAACATTGTTGTGAGACAGATAGTTGAACGATATTTTATACAATGTCTATACCTAGGTATGGATTTATTTTTGTCCGACTGGATCCACTATTTCAAATGCAGTTCAAACACACATGTATTAAATTGTATGTTCCGTTTTAATTTGGTTCAATCTGTATATATATATATATATATATATATATATATATATATTATATATATATATATATATATATAATATATATATATAAGAAAGTCGTGTTAGTTACACCACTTATAACTCAAGAACGGCAGAACAGATTTGGCTGAAAATTGGTAGGGAGGTAGCTCTGAGCCAGGAGATGGACATAGGATACTTTTTATCCCGTTCGACAGCGTTCTCGTGTGACTTGGCATGAAACGTCAGTCACTATAAAACGTGGTATAATAAAAAAGAATCAGACTTGGAATAACAAAACGCAAATGACAGCTATGTAATTGACGTAAAATGACAGCTATGTAATGACGTATGGATGACAATTTGATATTTGTAAGTAATCAATATTAAAACTATTTCTATTAAATAAATAATTTCAAGTGGATTGAAGTGAAGTGAAGTTTAATTAATAATGCCGCGACCAAGACGATCGAATCTTTCCCGACAAAGCCGTAATGCAAGAAGAATACAAAATACTGCAAATGAAAGGACTGAAGAAGAACAAGAAATTGCACGTGAACAGCGCCGCGATAGTATGGCTCGACTTCGTGCTTCTCAATCACGAGAGCAAAGTGAAGCAGCCCGCGAAACAGCTCGGTTGGCAATGCAGAATCGTCGAGCGAACAACAGAAGGCAACAAATGGATAATTTGCTACGCAGAACAAGATATTTAGCTGATTTGAATCGAGCAGCGTCTCGATACGATTGCAGCAATGATTACAGCTTGCATCCTAGCGTTTGCATTGGGCAAATGGACGTTGTTTGCGAGTATTGTGGTGCATTAAAGTTTTCCGGAGAAACGCCTGGATTATGCTGCCTTAATGGTAAAGTGAAATTGCCAGTGTTGACTCCGCCACATGAGCCATTGTATTCATTGCTTTGTGGCGAAACACAAGAATCACGCCACTTTCTTGCAAATACTCGAAAATACAATAGTTGTTTCCAAATGACGTCATTTGGGGCAGACATTATCGAAGAAGGAGAATTTAATCCGACATTTAAGGTATTTATTTTTGTACTTACATAGAATGTAGTTAAAGAATAACTTACTTTATCTATTGGTATTTATTATATTTGCTAATACTGAACTCTACTCTTCCACAGAAAAAGTGTTTATAACCCAGTTAATACTGTCTGGTTTTTATTTTGTAGATACAAGGACGGATTCACCATCGAATTGGATCATTACTACCTTTCGAAGATACACAGAATAAATATTTACAAATATATTTCATGGGCAACATGGAAGAACAACTTGATCGACGCCTAGGGATCAATGCAGGAATGAAGCGAGCAATTATTCAAGACTTGCAGTGTCTGCTTCATGAACATCATGCGTTGGTTAGGTTGTTTAAGAGTGCTTTAGAGCGCATGCCAAATGATGACTATAAAGTTGTCATCAAAGCAGATAAACGACCATCTGAAACACACGAACGCACATTTAATGCTCCAACAGTAGACGAAGTTGCCATCCTGATTGTTGGTGAACAATTGGAAAAAACGCGATATTGTGCTTACACGTCGCGATACTGGGCAACTGCAACAAATATCTGAAACTCATCGATCATATGACGCATTGCCAGACCCACTGATGTTTTGACAAGGAGAAGATGGATATTATTTTAATATTAAAATGATAAATCCATTGAATGGTAAAGTATCAGTATCTTAATAATGGTTAATGTCTGTATTATTTGTCTTTGAAATGGTTAATTATCAAATTTTTAATTTCAGGTGAAGAAACTACAAAGAAAGTTAGCTCAATGAATTATTATGCATATCGTTTGATGATTCGTCAAAATGCTGACAACTATTTACTGCGGTTTCGTCGATTGTTTCAGCAGTATTGCGTTAACATGTATGTAAAAATAGAAACGGAACGTTTAACATTTATTAGGTTGAACCAACCCAAACTGCGTTCTGAGGAGTACATCCATTTACGTGATGCGGTTAGTACTGAAGGAAATGCAGCTAATATTGGTCGATTAACTATTCTGCCGGCGACGTACATTGGTAGCCCACGTCATATGCATGAATATGCACAAGATGCAATGACATATGTTCGTCATTACGGCCGGCCAGATCTCTTTATTACTTTTACCTGTAATCCAAAATGGATAGAAATTACTCAATTGCTGCTTCCCGGACAAACATCAAATGATAGACACGACATCACAGCACGTATATTCAGGCAAAAAATTCGGTCCCTGATGAACTTTATTGTTAAACAACGCGTCTTTGGAGATACTCGATGCTGGATGTATTCAATCGAATGGCAAAAGCGATGCCTGCCGCACGCACACATTCTTATTTGGTTAGTGGAAAGAATTCAGCCTGACCAAATAGATGATATCATATGTGCCAAGATTCCTGATCATGAAGTCGATCCAGACCTACATGATGTTGTTACTACTAATATGATTCATGGACCGTGTGGTGCCATCAATCCCCAATCACCTTGCATGGTCGATGGAAAGTGCTCTAAACGATATCCACGGAAATTAACGTCGGAGACTGTCACTGGCAACGATGGGTATCCGCTGTATCGGCGTCGATCACCAGATGACAACGGTCGAACTGTCACAACGAAAGTGAAAAGAATGGATTTCGTTGTCGAGAACAGTTGGATTGTTCCATATTCGCCACTTATTTCTAAAACGTTCAAGACACATTGCAACGTTGAATACTGCAATTCAGTTAAGTCCATAAAATATATTTGCAAATATGTCACGAAAGGCAGTGCTATCGCGGTTTTTGGATTGCAATCCTCAAATACCAACGATGAAATTTCACGCTATCAAGTTGGTCGTTATGTGAACTGTAATGAAGCGATTTGGCGTATATTCGCATTTCCAATTCACGAACGTCATCCTACTGTTATACATTTGGCGGTGCATCTGGAGAATGGTCAACGAGTATATTTCACGGCTTCGAATGCTATGCAACGTGCTGAAACACCTCCAGCAACTACATTGACCAGTTTTTTTGCAATCTGCCAAAGCGATCAGTTTACACGAACTTTGCTTTACTCGGAGATGCTACGTTATTATACTTGGAATGCTTCATCCAAGAATTTTCAAAGACGGAAGCAAGGTGATGCGGTTCCTGGGTATCCAGATGTGCGTTCTACTGATGCTCTTGGTCGTATGTATACAGTTCATCCAAAGAATGATGAATGTTTCTATTTGCGGTTGTTGCTGGTAAATGTGCGTGGGCCAACTTTATTTGAGGCACTACGAACTGTTAATGGTGTAATATTCCCAACATATCGTGCTGCATGTGAAGAATTGAACTTATTAGAAAACGATACCCATTGGGATACGACAATCGCTGCATTATCTCTGCATCTCCAAGTCAGATACGCACACTATTCGCTATCATAATTTCGACATGTTTTCCATCAAACCCATGTAACCTGTGGCACAAATACAAGGATAGTATGTCAGAAAATATTTTACATCAAAGTCGTGTCAGTTCCAGAAATCACGATATTGAGATGAATGAGGAGATACATAATCATGCTTTACTCTTGATCGAAGATATTTGTTACCTCATGTGTGGTAATTTATTATTCAGGTTAGGAATGCCAGCGCCAAATCGTGAAATGAATGACGCATTTAATCGAGAATTGGAACGGGAACGTGAATATGATCACCAGGAATTAGATTTAGTAGTTCAAAGGAATGTACCCCTGTTGAGTTACCAACAAAAGGAAGTTTATGATACTTTAACGAAGGCAATCGCTGATGAAAATGGTGGTTTATATTTCCTAGATGCCCCTGGTGGAACTGGCAAGACATTCCTTATGTCATTAGTTTTAGCAACTGTCCGGGCGAGATTCAACATAGCGGTTGCAGTTGCTTCTTCTAGAATAGCAGCCACATTGTTAGAAGGATGCCGTACGGCTCATTCAGCATTCAAATTACCGTTAAATCTTCAAACTATTGAAGAACCAACGTGTAATATTGCAAAACACTCAGCAATAGCCAAAGTTTTAGCGGCATCGAAAATCATCATCTGGGACGAATGCACAATGGCGCATAAACGTGCATTAGAAGCACTTAACCGAACATTAAAAGATTTACGCAATGACTCGAGATGTTTTATAGGAGCAATGATTTTACTGTCTGGCGATTTCCGCCAAATACTGCCAGTAATTCCAAGATCTACGGCTGCCGATGAAATAAACGCTTGCCTCAAATCGTCAAATCTACGGCGCTATGTGAAGAAACTGCAGCTGACAACAAACATGAGAGTTACATTGCTTAATGATACATCTGCTGAAGATTTCTCGGAGCATTGCTGACTATCGTTAATGGTCAAGTACCTGTCGATGAATCGAGCGGATTAATATCATTTCCAAATAATTTCTGTAATTTTGTCTCATCAAAAGACGAACTCAAAATCAACAATGTATTTCCAAATATTATTTCTAAATACAAAAATAATGAATGGTTGAGTGAGCGAGCAATTTTAGCGGCTAAGAATAAAGATGTAGATGACCTGAACTACATAACTCAAAATAAGATCATTGGAACAATGCATTCATTCAAATCTATTGACTGCGTCACAAATGAAGATGAAGCCACCAACTATCCAATTGAATTTTTAAACTCTTTGGACGTGCCTGGCTTACCACCGCACAATTTACGCCTAAAGGTTGGCTCCGTAGTAATCATAATTCGAAACATAAACCAACCAAAACTGTGCAACGGTAAGCGTTTGGTGGTTAGTAAATTGATGAACAAGGTAATTTACGCTACGATAATGATAGGAAAATTCAAAGGTGAGGAAGTTCTCATTCCGAGGATCCCGATGATCCCAACCGATATGCCGTTTGAATTTAAAAGACTTCAATTTCCGATACGTCTTGCATTTGCCATGACCATCAACAAATCACAATCACAATCAATTAAGGCCAATCCTCAAAAGTTTGTGGTTTAAATCTAGAACATTCATGTTTTTCACATCAATTATACGTGGCATGTTCACGGGTCGGAAGACCATCTGTGTTGTTTGTTTTTGCGCCTGATAATAATAAAACAAAAAATGTCGTGTATCACAAGGTACTTAAGTGAAGAGCAACCTATGTACTAAAATACAGAAATAATCATGAATGATTAATGTAGTTATTTAATTTTTTTTTTGTATTTTTTCAAAAAAAAAACACAATCTGCTTATTTATTGCCATTAAGGCGGAACAAAGTTCGCGGGTCAGCTAGTATATATATATATATATATATATATATATTTATATATATTTATATATATATAAAATATATAAATAAATATAAATAATTATATATATATATATATATATATTTATATATATATATATATTTATATATATATAAATATATATATATATATATATATATATAAATATATTATATATATATATATATATATATATTATTATATATATATATATATAAATATATAAATAAATAAAATATATATATATATAATATAAATATATATATATATATATATATATATATATTATATATATATATATATATATATTATATATATATATATATATATATATATATATATATATATATATATATATATATATAGATTGAACGAAATAAATTCGGAACATACGAAATATTATGTATTTCGGCTCAATTCTGCTGTAGGTGGTTGACCAACAAATAGTTGTCAAATAATTATAGTATAAAAATGCTGCTGTATTCTGAAATGTTAAAAATTGAAAGCTACACATAAATCTACGATTTTATTATGCTGTCAAACCACTTATAGTCCAGGAAATGAAGCCTTTCACCTCGCAATTTTTTCGTCCTGCTTGGATTGACTTGAAATTTTAACAGAAGGTAGGTAATAGCCAAGGATCAAAATCTATATCGAACCAAAGTGCGCAAACCCTTAGGGTGGTTGCCACCCCATCTCGGGGGTGAAAATTTTTTTTACGTTTTAACTACAGTTTCGATTAAAAAAGTGATTCTAAACAAAAAATGTTCTATACATTTTTTTTTTGTAAAACTGACATTTTTCAAGTTATTCGCGATTGAAAGTAACAACTTTTAGACGAAAAAATCGACGTTTTTAATCGATTTTTCGCGAATAACTCGAAAATGGTGCATTTTATCAAAAAAATTGTAGAGAACAAATTTGTACCTTTTAAAAAGACAAATACAATTCATTTTTTAAAATGTTTTTGCGACATAACAGGAACCGAAATACGGCTTATCAATGTTCAGCGGTTTTCTTCAAATGCCAAATTTGAAAGATTCAAAGTCAAATATCGGGAAAATGATGCATTTTTGGAAGAAAACTCACACAACTTTTTTTAAAGAGCATAAATAGACCTATCATAAAAAAAACTCTAGCTCGTGAGTTATGATAAAAATAAGGTCAATACCTCATTTTTTTACGAAAAAATCGATGAAAACAACCCCCTAACCACCTCCATAATTAAAATCGATCTTCACCCCTCTGCAATTCTGTTTGTACATGTATTGTTAATACGTCCAAGAAGTTTGACCCATTTAAAATGCTTAGTTTTAGAAAAAGTACGGCATAAAGCGAGAAACGATTTACAATTTCATATTTTTTACCCTTCTTTTTTTAAATATCCCCGAAAATACTGAATATATGAAAAAAATAAAAAATGTACTAAATTGTAGCTTTTTTAATGACTAAAATTTTCCTTTATTTAGATTTGTTGTACAATGAATATTGGCGAGATATAGCCGTTTAAAGCATCGATTTACGATCAAGCACCATCTTTTTCGAGCCCTTTAAACTCACCCCATTTAAAAACCAATGGTTCCAAAAAGATTTAATTCACAGATCCTTATAGCTCTTAAAAACCTCTACAAAACCGTTTTTGAAGAAACACTCTATCATTAAAAAGGAAGAAAATACGTTAAAAAAAGCAATTTTTTTTTCCGGAAAATTCCATTAGTATAGTACAGTACATTTCGGAGCATAATAATCTACAAAATCGGTATATTAGGTAGGGGGGCATTATACACTCTAAATTTTAAGCGTTCTTATTTTGAAATCCCATACAACAGAATAAAACATCTGCCCATATGTCTATGGCTTGGCAATGAAAATATCAGAGCAACAGATTGGGGATGGTATTCCAAAGATGGTTTGTTATTACCCGTACGCATGAACAAACAACCTGCACCCGATGAACTTTTGTTGTTGTTGTTATAAATGTAAATATTTTCAATTATTTATGTAAATGTATAAGAATATATGGTGCCTTTTTATGTTGATAAATTTTTTTGTATTTAATTCTACTTTTTTCAATTTATATCTATTAAATTAGTTTATAAAAACTGCAATGTTATAAGGGTGATATTCAAAAGTTGAAAAGTGGCAAAATTTTGGCAAAAAATTGTTTTCACCTATAGCACTCATAACAATTGATTTTTAAGGGTAGAAAATGTATGATATGTATATTTTAAAGTATAAAAAAATCACTATTTAACTAATTCAAACCAAATTTCATTCATCGTAAGATTTGTAATGTTATTTTACAATTTTTGAAAATTAGGGGTAGTTTTCACCCTTAAGAACAATCAGGGTTCATCGGCATGACATAAACTAGCAGAGGGTGAGTTGAGCTTAATTCCAAATTTTTATCCAAATCGTTCCAAGGCGAAATCATTTTCTTCGCATTACTACTTTTTTTTACATTAATCTCTAACAAGGGTCGCTTTTTAAGGGTTGAAATATTTTGGAACTTTATTCAAAAGCACGAAACTATCATTATTTAATTAATTCAAACCAAATTTTACCCATATTCAGGTTTAATATGTTATTTTATAATTTTTGACAACTAGGGGTAGTTTTCACCCCTAAGAACAATCAGGGTTCGTCGACATGACGTAAACTATAAAGCAGTGGGTGAATTGAGCTTAAATCCAAATTTTTATCCAAATCGATCCAAAGCGAAATCATTTTTTAGAATTAGTAATTTTTTTACATTAATCTCTATCAAGGGTTGCTTTTTAAGGGTTGAAAGATGATGGAACTCTATTCAAAAGTATAAAATAATCATTATTTAACTAATTCAAACCAAATCTTAGCCATATTAAGGTTTAATATGTTATTTTATAATTTTTGACAATTAGGGGTAGTTTTCACCCCTAAAACCCTTCAGCGCACTTCGGTTCAATATAGATTTTGATCCTTGAGCTATCACCTACCTTCTGTTAAAATTTCAACTCAATGCATGCAGGACGAAAAAATTGCGAAGTTTTAACTTTTTTCGAGCTTCATTTCCTGAACTATTATCGCTTCCTTTACGCAAACAAAATTGTAACATTGTTGCGAGACAGATAGTTGAACGATATTTTATACAATGTCTATACACAGGCACAGAATAATAAACAAACAGAATACCCACTCTCCACGGAAAATTAAGTACGCGCATCTCCTCCGCGCAGACGTTCCGCCATGTTTTAGGAAGATTTTAAAGAAATTAGTGTTGTTTATGTGGTGTGCATGGAAAAATTAACCAGGTTTATTTGACTTACGGCAATCATAGACATACTATACAATTATATTAACATTGTTAAATATAATAACATAAATATAATATAATTAAACATAAATATAAACAGTTACATAACCACACAAATCATATGTCTGTGTCCTCCTAAAACATGGCGCGCGTGCTGAAAAACTTCAAAGGCGGCATCTGAGAGTGGCCCTTCTGATTGTTTATTATTCTGTGACACAGGTATGGATTTATTTTTGTCCAAGTTTTATATTGGTCCACTATTTCAAATGCAGTTCAAACAGACATATATTAAATTGTATGATCCCTTTTAAATTCGTTCAATCTATAATATATATATATATATATATATATATATATATATATATATATATATATATATGTTATATGTGCTTTCTGTAGTTTTCCGGGTTTGACTCCGTGTTGAATAATTTTGGTTTGGATAAAAACCATTATTTTGACGACGCTTCGGCAAGGTCGCACTTGTCATTGTTCTAGCCAGGCAGTAGCGCTTCTTGTGCTTGAAGTTAACTTCTTAACTCAAGTTTGCAATTTTGCGATTTTTAGCAATTTTGCGAAAAAAAAATTCATATTCGTATTATTAATTATTTATGTAATTACATAATATGTTTTAATAAACGTAATTAATATTGTTAGTATTTTTAATTAAACGTATCGTTTCAAGAACAAAACAAAATTGACTCATAGGTTGAAATGTTGTTGGTAGTTCAGATATGATTTCCTAGATGACGATATGATTTTAAATCTAAACTAACATTAAGCTTTAAATTATTTTGTTT